CACATTCTTTCCCTAATCGGTCTGCCTGGTGCCCCGCGTGAGGCGCCGTCACAAGAGCGTCGACGGGACTTTTTCGTCCTGTGTGATTTCCGTGCTGCCGGCTACAACCCACGCGTGGTCCATTCACACGTGCCTGTGTTCCACATTCCTTCCCTTGCGGCAAATCTGGGCATTCGCGTCCCTGAGGGGACCCGTCTGGCCACTGATGATGGGATTACGGAAGGCGATGAGGTTCGCTTTGCGGGAGCATCACATTTGTCCTTCTATGTCAAGGTTCGCAGCGACTCCCCTGACCCTCATTTTGTTGGCACCCTTCGCCCTGAGCCGGAGCACGATGGCGGTTCTCACCCACCTTCTGGGGACGGCCATGACCGTTTCTCACATGAGGGTCGCGGGCCCCCTGGTCGCGCTCGCTCCCGGTCTGGCCAACGCGGTCTCACGACACCTTGTCCATCACGTGGACGGAAAACTGGTATGCCCGTGCAAGTGGCGCTTCATGCTCCATGCGGCCCCCAGCTCCTCGTCTCCCTCCTAAATGCTGCCGCCTCTGGCTTCGCCCGTAGGCATACAGGCAAGATGTGCAAGTGGGTTAAGGACTTTATGCTTGATGTCTTTGTTGAAGACGAGTCCCAGCTCACCTCTGCTTCCCTTGTCTACCCAGGTAGCTTTGAGGAACTATGTATCCTACCAAAGGATGCCGACTGTCTTACATGCCTAGAGACAGGCCTTATTTCCACCTGCAAGCTCCTTCGTGAGCCCACTTCTCACAGCGCTGCGGCCAGGAATGACCTTCTTTTTATCCGTGACTTCGAGGAAGAAGCCGGCAGAGAATGGCCGTATCTCCCTGCAGATGACCCATTTGCTCTTCAGGAGATAACAGACCAATTTGATGAGGAGGGTGAGGTGCAGGTTGAAGGTGCCGCTGATTTCGTTGCATGCCTCCTCACCCCGGAGTATGTGGCAGAAGTTGTGCTTATCTCCCTGGATCCGCCTGCTGAGGTGGACGTCGCTATAGCCGCTATCCAGGAGTCCCGAGATGCTGTGCGAGATCGCCTTTTCCCAGCCATCCTCGCGGTTGTACCACAACCTTCGCAAAACTATGGTCTCTTCTTGGCCTTGCCCGGTTGGGCTACCTTTGAGATAGTGGTCTGTTTCGACCTCTCTGCAGTTGATGGCAGAGTATTTGCCGATGGTGCTCCCACATCTGCGTCAAAGGACACCTTGCTTAGAATTGCAGGCTTGCAGGATGGCACTGTGTGCGATGTCTACATAGGAGTAAGCCCAACACCTCTACAGGATGACG